TGTCAAGCATTTAATACCCTTTCTTTGTGACTCTTCGATGATGATGATGCGATCAATTCGAGGTCAAATTTTTTTTTCTTAAGGGGAATGATGTGGACCAAAAGGCCTTGAAATTTATAGAGCGGCACGATAGGGTATGGTGACAAGAGTTGAGATTTTTGGGCTGATTTTGGAGAGTTTTGGACCTAATTTGATGTGAAACGAGCCAACGACCAAAACCCTCGGGCTCGCCCATGGCGTCTATGTGATTTTTGCAAAAAGCATCGTTTAAGCCCTCAAAACGGCAATTTACTATTTTGTCAAAATAGTAACCGCGTCCGTACGAAGTTTTGATTTTTTCTATTTTACTTTGGACTTTTAGTAGTTGTTTCTTTTTCAAATTACTTTAAGGTTTTAACCTAAAATTTACTATTGAAGTAATACTTGTAGGCTGAAAAACGTTACTTTTGCTTGATTAATAAACTTTTGTAAGAGAGTACAGTTTTTCAATTCTCGATATTTCTTAAATCAACGAGGTTGAAGCCCATATTCGATATTTGTATATGTAAGTCAACATATTGTAATAGATTGATATCTAAATTTTAAATCAATGATATTTATCTTTTTTTTTTTTTTTTTGTGAGTTTCAACAACGTCAGATATGGTATAAGTAGTGTAAGACAAGAGAAAAGAAGAATCTATCAAATGTATTAATTGATTAATAGTGTTTTTTCTACCTTTGGGTTTTGCCCTTTTTAGCCAAAGGTAGGGTCTAACCCTTATTTTGTTTATACGAGGTTTTGGTACCTTATAGTAAAGGATTGAGTTTTTTTGAGTGAGGGCTGAGGTTGTGACGTGGGAGCATATGCTTTTCTCTTTTCGTACAGACAAAGCCCATATTACAGTGTTTGGTTCATCTGCAATATATCCTTTTCATCCAAGATCACATCAAACCTGGGTAAAGAAAGACAAGAGTGAGTTGAGATTGAGAATGATGGTTGAATTTAATATAATTATAAAAATCGCTGAATTTCTTTTTTTCCTGCCAAACTTTTTTTTTTTTTTTAGCTTGAGAAAAATGGGTTTTTTAAGTTAAGGTAGTCAATTTCAAATGCATATTAAAAATAATAATAGGTTTCATTTTATGTGTACATAATAATATATTAATATTTTAATATCAAGACATTTGTCAAAGAGACATTTAAAAATTGGTTAGACCACGTCCACTAGATGTATTAGAAATGGGTCACATTGGAGTCTAATGGATAGCTCATTTACTCTCAATATTACACTTTCAAGGCATATCCTTAATTATTTCATGCATTTCATGACACCAAATGTAGTATAAAAAAATGTTATATATATAGTTTTTCTTCCATTTTCATGATAAATTATTAATTAATAAAAACTATAATGAAAAAAAATACGGAATCTTTGTTTTGCTATCAAACTATATGTAACGTTTTGGTTTTGTTTTTTAAATCAGGAAATATAATCATTTTAAAGTTAAAATAATCAATCTCAAATACTTACGATGATACTTTTGTTGAATATGTATATTACAAAAATAAATAGTGTAACCTTTGTCATAACCCAAAATTTTTCTATATTTATTTTATTGCTATTTATTTCTTATGTTATTTTTTTATTTCTTTATTTCTTTTTTATTTTTGAGTTTATTACAAAAAAAATGAAAAAATGATAAAAATACAAATATATATATATATATATATATATATATATATATATATATATATATATATATATATATACACACACACACACACAAAAGGAAAGTATGTAGAAAAATTTCACAAAGGGACACAATTGCACTAGGAGAAAATATAATTGAAGTAATTAGCGGTACAATTGAATGAATTGAGAAATTCAGAATCCAAATTACACCTTACAAGGATCCAATTGATAAAATTAGACTTTAGAGAGATTGAAATTACACAACAAGATGGCACGATTGTAGATAATTGAAATTCACGGGGACTAAACTAGAATTTTAGAATGAACGATAGGATTGAAATTGACCGAACGACCCATCGTCCACTCCAATCCAGAATCCCTCGAAAATCATTCAAAAAAATCTATCCAAATCTTCTACTAATTGTGTTTTTTGAGTTTGAATTTATCATGATTCTTTGTTGGAATTGACATCGATCAAGAATCATGTGATCACCGATTTATTCCCTAGTGTTTAACTATTCAAATCTAAAATTTGAGATTTGATAATGAATTTAGGTTTGTATGGGCTGATTTTGGGAAGAAATTTGAGCAAATGTTAGCTTATAAAAGGTTTCGAATTCTGGTTTAAGGAGGAGAGGGACGAGAAAATAAAAATTTTTGAATGCTTGGTTGAAATAGAATGAAAATCAAGAGCGAACTACAAGTTTTTTTATTTTTGGGAACAACTGCTGCAAATTTTCTAGATTTGTGGGTAGTTATTCTTTGTGTTCTTCATTTTTTAATAGGTGTTCTTCACTTGGGGGTTTCTTAAATCGGGGTTTCCTATAATTTTCTTGGCTTATATTTGAATTTCGTGGTTCGTTCAACTTGTTTCCTATATATGCTGGTTTTAATTTGAAGTATTTTGGTTTTCCTTTGAAGATTTTCTAGGCGGGGCTAGTGTTCTTCATTTTCTTTTACGGTTTGACATTTAAGGCTCTTTGGTTTTACTAGATATTGATCCTTGAATCTTAGACGTCATTTACGCATTCCACATCAACTAAGAACTCCTTGAATCCCCTAAAATCATCTTGAAGTTCAATCATTATCAATCCAAGCTACGGGATAGTAATCACTAAATTTTGGAATCTTAGGTCTGTTTTCATTTGTCGGCTTCCATTTCTTTTGTTTCTATAATTTGAATTCCTTTTGTTAAATAAGCCTTTTAGTTAAAATCAAAATTATTTCTAACATAATAATTTCATTTTTTTCCTAAAATAATTAAAATTAAAAATCAAAATGAATTTCTACCCATAGTATAAGTTCCAATATTTAGCAAGAACTATTAAGATAATGAATTAAAGCGATAAAAGTTTGATGGATGCATAGAATATAGGCTTTAATTTGCCTTTATTTGGTTCATATATTTTCTGATTTATTATTATTATTATTTTGTTTGCATTGATTGAGCTCTTTTATTCTTCATTTTATTTTCGCTTTCACTTCATTATAATGATGTTACTTTGTAAGAGATCGTGGCACGTGATCTTCCTGAATGAATCACACATGTTATATGTAGGACTCCAAAAGAGATATTCAATCGAAAAATATATATATATATATGTGTGTGTGTGTGTGTGTGTGTGTGTGTGTGTGTGTGTGACTTCAATAAAAAAAATGACAGAATATATGGACTAATTTTTTGTTTTTAATTTTTATATTATATATATATTTTTTTCAGAACCGCATTATCTTGAATGTATAAAGATATATCGTATGTGAGACCCTATCAATATAAAATTATAAAGATTTTTTTAATGTTATAATAATTTAAAAATTAAAAACAAACTTAACATGCAATTAAAAAAATTAAGGTGCCAACTCCATTTTTTATTTAATATTTTATGGAGAATTAGACTAAAAAACTATGGTCTATTGTTGATTGGTATTACACGCGCTTTTTTTTTCATTAATTGTATGACATATTCTTTTTTTTTCTTTTTCTTTTTATGGACTATTTTATTATTTTTAACTTATTATAATTATTTATTTAAAAAAATTATCATTTTTATTATGTAAAGTCCCATATCCTATATATTATATGTTTTTTGCATTCATTATGATGTTTTATATAAAAGTACAATAACACTAAGAGTCAAAGATAATAATAATTTAGTTAGGATACTCTTTAAATTGTTTTAATAGAAACATTATACTCTTCATTGTCTTAGTCATTGTTAAAAAACATCTCAACTTAAAAGCTTAAGTTATTAAGTGAGGTCTTAAAAATAATTTATTTTATTTTCTAACATATTTTCACGATCGTTTGGTTATAAAGGCTCTAATACTAAGTCAAAAAACTATCTCAATTCAAAATTTTTAACTGATAGGTGAGAGTCCATGAATGATTTTATATTATTCTCTAATAGTCATAAACTCACCAACCATCTCTTTAACTACCGCTCTTTTTTATATCGTAGGAGTATTCGGAATTTGGAGATATTTTTATTTATTTTCTTATTTATTCCTAACATAAACAATTTTTTTTCCTAAAATGATTAAAATTAAAAATCAAAATGAATTTATATCCATGGTATAAGTTCCAATATTTAACAAGAGCTATCAAGATAATGAATTAATGGATCAGAGTTTGATGAATGCATATAGGTTTGCCTTTATTTGGTCCATGAATCATTTGAATTATTTTTATTAATTTTTTTTTTACTCTTTTTTATATTGATTGGGTCTTTTTATTTTTTTATTTTATTTTGTTGTCGCTACTTTGTTATATGTAACAATGTTAGTTTGTAAACGAACATTGCATGTTATAGAGTTTTTTTTTTTTTTAATGTCATAATAATTTAAAAAATAAAATAAAAAATTTTGAAAATGAACTTAACATGCAATTAAAAAAATCTAATACAAATATTTTTTCCAAAGTTAAAATAAAATAACTATAATTGTGACTGGAATATATATATATATATATATATATATATATATATATATATATATATATATATATATATATATGTAATCTCTAGTTTTTTAAGGAAGCAACTCCATTTTTTATTTTTTATGGAGAATAAACCTCAGAAACTAAAGTCTATGGTTGATTGATATTGCAGACATTGCAAAAGTTATGTTTTGTTTTATTAATTGTACAACAATTTTTTTTTTCCTCGTTTACGTATTATTTTATTATTTTTAACTTATTATGACTATTTATTTAAACAAAAATCTTCAGTTTTACTATGTATTGTCTTATATATGATATGTTTCTTGCATTCAGTATGATATTTTGTATAAAAATATAATAACATTAAAAGTAAAAAGGTAATAATAATTCAGTCAAGAAACTCTTTAAATTGTTTTAATAGAAACCTCCTGCTCTTTGTTGTCTTCGTCATAAACTCACCAACATATTTTTTTAAATATGCTAGGAGTATTCCCTTATTGGATTTATCGGCACCAAGATAAGATTTGAGGTGGCGGTGATTTCTTTTTCTTGATCTTGTCAGGTGCTAAATAATTATGCTAGAGGAAAAATTTTTCATTCCTTTATGCAGGATGAGTTTTTTTTTTTAATCTTTTAAATATCTAAGTATTTTCAAATTAAGTTCATAACTTAAGGATATGTTATTTACAAGACTTAAATATATTATTTACGTGGAACTTATGAATTCATAAAAGAATTAATAAATGAGAAAACTACAATTTGAGTGCTCAAGTTTTGATGTTTTTTCTGTTTGAGTGTTCAATTATTAAATCTTTCTATTTAAATATCTAACTTTTAATCATTATTTTTTCTATTTGAGTGTTCATAATTATCTGAATTTGAAAAATATTAATATGTTTGAGATAAAATAGCACATAGAAAAAGTGAGTTCCACTTAGATTTATTAAAAAAAAAAGTTATTTATGAATGCTTAGCCATTTATTCTATCTATTTGAGTGTCAAAATAGATCTCGTTCATATTTATTGAGAACAAAATAAACAAATTATAAATTTTTTATGAAAGAGAATAGCTTGCCAGAATTAAAAAAGAAAATAAAAATCAATTACTTACTATTTACCACATGTTAGTTAAAGATTATCACATGCTAATGGATCCAAGCCACATCATTATTTTTAAGTCCAAGTGATTAAAGAAAAAATCCCATATGAATTTGTTATAAGAATCTGCTATTAAACTCATTGTTCTTTTCTGTGCTTGCTAGAAGATTTGTAATTAAGATTTTTTCTTAATTAATTTTTTTTTTTTAGTTTTTTTTCCTCATTTAGTTCAAGTGAGATCCACTTTTGTCAAATGTCAGTTAGAAATGTTGGACACTTAGTAATTTCCAATCTCATGTGATTGAGGTTACTCAAAAACAAAAAAAAAAAAAAAAACAAACAAACAAATGTTGAACACTTAAATAACTAAAACAAAAGGTTGGGCACTCAAACAAAATTTTTTTCCTAAATAAATTCAAGTGGGCCTTATTTTTTCCACATGATAGCTAAAAATTATCATGTGACAGTTTATTCCAAATATATTAGCAATTTTCAGTATCAAATTATCGTTAATATTCAAACAGAAAAGAAAAAAAAAAAAACAAAGGCTGAACACTTAAATAGAAAGATTTAACAATTGGTTGCTCAAATAGAATAAAAATAAAAATTAAGCACTCTTCTCAATGAAGTATAAAATGAAATAGATGGTAAAAATTGAATAAATTTACAGTCAATGCCGCTACATCTATTGGTGAGTTTATTTACATGACTTGTAGAGAAGCTGTCGCCATATCAAACACCTAATCGTGAAAGCACATATAAAATTAAGCCATTCACAAACATAGGACCAAAAGATAATAAATAAATAATAACAAAGGACCAAACTGATTTTTTAGCATTTTCTTCCTCCATAGACCACATGGTTGGTTTACAAAAATATTCTCTTATGACATAATAAAAATAGAATTTGGTATGCTAAAGCCAATTGTAATTAATCAAGTCAAATTTGGGTCCAACATATAGATGTCTATGTTGCCACTCAATAATTTTATTACTCTGGGATTGAGCTTTTCTTGACTTATAATTATTTAAATCCGCCATACATCTAAATGCAAAAAAAATAAAAATAAAATAAGTATTCCGTCCCCTAATATCACTCCTTTGTCCCTTCCCTTGCCAAGATTACAAACAATTCTAAAGGAAACAATAACCTCAAGTGTTTATATAGTATTTCTTCCATTTTCTTTTTGATAAATTATTAATTAATTAATAAAAACTAAAATGCATTTAATATAATGAAAAAAAAAATACAAAATCCTTGTTTTCCTATCAAACTATATCGTTTTTGTTTTGGTTTTGAGGTGAAGGAAAAAAATTTTTAAGTTAAAATAGTCATTTTTCAAAATTTATTTGGTATTATCCTTTTATATATATATATATATAAAAGTCAGATGTTTTTAATATTTTTCTTCAATTTTAAGCTCTAGTTGAACATCAATTTAACTGTAAAATTAAACAAATTCAAATAGATTGGGATGGTAAATTAAATCGTTTAAATATATTGTTAAAATTATTTGTATTAATTATTGTATAATATGTCCATACATATGAACAAAACAAAATTGTTAAAAAAACAACATCGTTATATTATTTAAACTGGTTTAACATTATTAGGAGACAATTGTATCTAGATCATATTGACATTTTGCTTTTAAAACTACTATATTCTTATAAATTGAATGTCTTTTTCTATGTCTAATAATTTATCTTCTTACGAAATTATTTTTTGACACAAATCAGATTATTCATTTCTTAAAATTTTGGGCTCTTATGTTTTCCTTATTTAAGACCTTATAATAAAAATAAAATAGATTTTTGTTCTAGTCTTTGTGTATTCCAATGATATAGTCCTTCCCACCTAGGTTATTGGTGTCTGGATACAAAAACTAATTGATTTTACATCTCCCGAAGTGTACTTTACATTTTGTGGAAACAATGTTCCCTTTCTGTAAAGCACAAACCCCACCCACTCCAACCAAAAACTCGTTCTCTTCTAGTCCTTGAGTCAGCATCCCTGTCCAGCATCCTTCCATTTCTTCTCTTTACTCATTTGGTCCAGCCTGCGCCCCAGGACATTCTCACGTCCAGGCCATTAATTCGGCTTTATCCCACTCACTTCCTTCTCCTGTCTTGGGCCCCCTTTCAAGTCCAGAGTCTTCTGCCCACAGTCCTTTACCAAGCCCACCAAATGCTCCGGCTCTAGGTCCTTCACATGCCCAGCCCACACAAATGTTCCAATCCTCCTCTCCTAGACCTGTTATTCCTTTAAGTCCCACCCACTCAGCCCACAGCCCACACCAAATAGCTCCACGTTGGCAATGTTTTTTCAATTACTTAGTATTTAACTAGTTTTTTTGCTCACGCTATACTCGCGAATTGAATAAAATATATAAAATTATTTATAAAAATTATTTCAGTTTGATAGTCTTTTTTATGATATGAATCTATAAAAATATATGAAATTAAATGTGAAAAAATTTATTATAATTTTTAATAAAAAAATTTGTATTTAACTATTTCTTATTTGTGTTTTTCATAATTTGCCTTTTAGAAAAAGATTTATCCTTATTAATCTATGGATTATTAACTAAAAAGAAAATTAAATAGTTTTTTTTTAAAAGCTTTAGTAGTTTATAAGATTGTGTCCAAAAACATAAATAACAATTATTAAAAGCTTATATAGAATTGAAAAAATTATTTTTTATTTAATGTTGATGAGAATATCGATTTTGAAAAAATGTGAATTCAATTTTTATATATTTATTTACAAAAGAATGAATAATATTAAAATAAAAACTATATTAATTTGAATCATTAAGTGGTTAAGCCAAAACATAATTTTAATTATTTAGTTTAAAATAAGTTAATTTTAAAATATTCACAAAATAAATAAATAAATAGTAAATGCTTAGTGTAGTAGTAGTTGCACGGTTAATTTCTAAAAAAACAATGATTCAATATTTTTTTTATACATCATAACTATACTCGAGTGAGTTCGAGTTTTCGATCTAAAACAAAAAATACTATATATAAAAAAAAAGGATAACTTGTAAGGAATCTATTGACTAAATTTGAAGTTAGTAGACTAAAATAAAAATTATTACAAATTTGATTTCGATTAATTTTGAATATATAAAGAAGAAACAAATTAATAAAACATGTGAATTCTTTTTTTTTTCCTCCTTCTTAATTTTTTTTTTATTTCTATGTTATACATGGCTAGTCCTTGAATATAGACCTCACGTGCGGAGCAACCATCTTCTTTTTATTTTTCACATTTTACTTTCAACTATTAATTAATTAATTTAAGTTTTTATCTAAAAAAACAAGAAACAATTATTTAAAATACACTTTTAATCTAAAAATATATTTTAGACAAATTATATATATTAATCATGCCATTATAATTTAAAAGTTATCTAAATCTATTCTTCAAAGAAAAAATAATCATGTTCTAAAATTTTATTTCAAAATCCATACATATAGAAAAATAAATCAAAAACTATCAACAAATATAATTTTAAATTAATTGGATGAGAATTTTAAAAAATCACAAATTAAAGTAGTAAATTTTAAATAATATAAAAAAATCGAGAAAACATTATTTGAAATACACTTTTAATCAGAAAATGTATTTCAAAAAAATTATATATATATATATATATATATCATGCCACTATAATTTAAAAATTATCTAAATCTATATTTCAAAAGAAAAAAAAATCATGTTCTAAGAAGTTATTCCAAAATCCATACATATAAAAAGAAAAATAAAAAATATCAGTATAATAATTTTAAATTAATTGAATGATAATTTTTTTTTAAATGAAAAATTAAAGTAGTAAATTTTAAATAATAAAATTAATTAAAAAACTAAAAAAAAAGAGAGGATCAAATCACAATATAATTAAAGTTTGAAATTAAAAAAAGATGACAAATTAATGTACTAAATTTTAAATAATATAAAAAAATAGAGAAAAAATTATTTGAGATACATTTTTAATCTAAAAATTTATTTAAAAAATTATATATATTAATCATGCCACTATAATTTAAAAATTATCTAAATCTATTTTTCAAAAGAAAAAATAATCATGTTCTAAAATTTATTTCAAAATCCATACATATAGAAAAATAAATAAAAACTATCATTAAATATAATTTTAAATTAATTCGATGAGAATTTAAAAAAAAAGACAAATTAAAGTAATAAATTTTAAATAATAAAAATAATTAACAAAAAATACTAAAACAAAATAGGATCAAATCACAATTTAATCAAAGTTTGAAATTGAAAAAGAAAAGAGAATTAAAAAAAAGAAAAAAGACAAATTAAAATAGTAAACTTTAAATAATAAAAATAATTAAAAAATTAAAGTTTGAAATTGAAAAAAATGAAGAAGAGAGTTTTAAAAAAGAACAAATTAAAATAGTAAATTTTAAATAATAAAAATAATTAAAAAAACACTAAAACAAAATGGTACCAAATCACAATAAAATTAAAGTTTGAAATTGAAAGAAAAAGGTATAAAAAAATTGAGGAACAAAGTGTTACAATAGTGACATGAATAGTGAAAGAAATAGTTATTTATGAGTATGTGAATAGTGATTTATGGGTGTATAAATAGTATTTCAAATAGTGACATAAATAGTAAAACAAGGTTTTACTTTAATATTTTTAGTAATTACTTCGTGTATTTTTCTTTTTCTAGGTGTAGACTAGCGAGTCCGGCGTATGCGAGTAGGTGAGTGATGGGGCAATTTAGCGTATATAGGTACGTAAGTGATGGGGAGATAACAATGTTTTCTTAGTTACTTAGGCTATGTTTGTTGGAGGGAAAAAACAAATTTTTTTTTTATTTTTCAGTATTTATTTTATATTTTTAAAAAATATTTTTCTTTTCACGAGCCGTCTTATTCTTGCGTTACTTATCTTTCTCTCAATATATTTTAACATTTTTTTCTTCATATATTTTTTTAATTATTCCTTATTAATTATTATCAATTATTTAATTATTGATGGGTGCAGTCTAGCGTATGAAAATAGGCAAGTGATGGGGCAGTCTAGTGTGTTCAGGTAGGTGAGTTATGGGGAGATGACAATGTTTTTTCAATTACTTAGTGTTTAATTACTTGCAGTTGCACGTTGGCAATGCAATCTGTGTGGAGAATATAGCTTGCAAATAAATATGGTACAATAGAAAGAAGAATGACTAATTGTTACTACAATATTCTAAACTTGGTCAAATAGAAAAAATTTCCCAACCTTCAATTTTTTTTTATTTTAATTTAGTTCTTGAAGTTTTTTATTCAGCAATCAAATATTTTTTTCTTGTTAACTAATTTTCAATCACATTTAAAAATATATGATAGCAACATAAAATCATAAAATTACTACATATATCTTATATTTAAGATTTTTATACCACATATTATTGTTTAATAGTTTCACATATCTTTTATATCGTTTGAAATTGATCAACGAAATGAAAAAACTTAAGAGAGAATACTCAAACAATGCAAAGAAATAAATAAAATAAGAATAGGATAATATCATTACTTTTTGAATTAGTTCGGTGCTTCATTCTAAAAATCATGTTTCTTTTAAGCTAAATGCGGAGACGACAAATTTCTAAAGCACTATTAGATTGAAGTTTAGTTGGTATAAAATGAAAAGAAACAAGTAACAAATTTACATCATTTACTTTCCAGTTTACTTTTTGAAGAATGAAAAATTTATATTTCATTAAGAAACAACCAAGTAGAAGGCTAAACTTGCAAAAAGTCTAGGAATCAATAAGAAAAAAGAGAATACAAATTTGAAGACTAAACAATGAAACAAACAATAACTAGAAGACAAAGCAATTAAAAATTCCTCCTTCGACTTGCATCAAGAAATTTAGGATTATTTCTAGCCTCTTATAGAGAATTGGCATTGCACAATTTCATCTAAATCTATTGAACAATCCGAACAAGCTGCAATAGTGGTGGATCTAATAGTGGGCTATCAATTGGTATTGGTGGATCAACGCAATTTCAGCCAAAGTACGATCGATTTGAAGGAGGAGGCCGATGGGTCTGCGGGTTAACCTACGAGTGATATGGATTGACGACCTCTTCTTGGGGCTATTTGGCAAAATCTCTTTTTCTTTTTTTGTTCTTTTTTATTCTCTTAGGATCCATGTCTTGCAAATTTTTTAGAGAGATAATAAATAGTAAACTTTTACATTTTGGTTCTTTTTTATGGATAGGGGTGATGAATATTTTAGCTAGATTTTTTTGTATAGGAAAACAATTATGGAGGCTTGGTTGTTTTATGGTAGATAGATGGGAGATGGAGGCTTAAAAGAATAAAAAATCGAACAATGTGTTTTTTATTTCATCTAAAATTAGTTAATCAAATGAAAAACTTAAAATAATAAAGAACCTAGGACAATGCGAGAGGAATAGATAAAGCGAGAATAGGTCGACATCATATTTTTTGACTTAGTTCATTGCTTCGATCTAAAAATCATGTTTCTCCTAAGCTAAAATGCGAGAGATGAAAAAATTTCTAAAGCGCTCTCAAATTGAAGTTTAGTCGGTGTAAAATGGAAAGAAATAGTAATCAAATTCATAGCATTTACTTTCTTATTTGTTTTTTAAAGAATGAAAAATTTATATTTCATCAAGAAACAACCAAGCGAAGGCTAAACACTGTCAGAACCAATAAAAAAAGAGTACGAAATTGAAGACTAAACAATGAAACAAAATAACTAGAAGAAAAAGCAATTAAAAATTCCACCTTCTACATACATCAAAAAATTTAGGATTATTTCTACTCTCCTGTCGAGAATTAGCATTGCACAATCTCATCCGAATCAATTGAACAATCCAAACAACTACAACGAGTGCATGTGGTATGAGAATTTTCTCCATTAAAAGTTCTAGTATTTCTCTAATTTAAAACCCGTTTATTTAAACCAACCATCATTTTTAATAATATATAAAAGAGAGGAGAGACTATTGATAGATTTTAAGAAGAAAGATGCACCTTGTCGGATTGAGTGGGTTGGGAAGGGAGTGGGGTGGCATGGGGCGGTGGTTGGGGCTGGTGGAGGTGGCGACAACGAGTGGAGGAGGAGAGAAAAAGGTGGGAAACCGGGGGAAGAAAAGAGACACTAGCTTTATAGGATTTTAGATTTAGCAACGGATGTATTTTCGTCGTTAATCCATCGCTAATTAGCAACGAAATAAGTGTTTATCGCTAATTTGAATTTTAAAAGATCGATCAAATTGTCCACAAAGATTCAAAATTTGTGCAAATAGTGATGGTAATGCATTTTTCATCGCTAGTCCGTCGTTAATTAATGATGGATTAATCGTTTCCATCGCTAAGTTGAATTTTTAACCCCGGCCAATGTTGTTCAAAAAAATTTTAAAATTTGCACATTTAGTGATGGATAACATTCCATCGCTAATTAGCGTAGATTGGCGAAGGGTAGCGATGGATAGTTTCCGTTGCTTGGTCGACGATGATTTTATCGATAGAATAGATATTCCGTCGCTATATTACCTCGCTAATCCATCGCAATTCCGTCGTTGAATTTGGCTTGGAAGTTTGCCGAGCAACATGGTGATGAAATTGTTTCCATCGCTATATTTTCATCACAAAATCGTAGCCTATCCATCTTTAAATGATGCATTTTGGATTTCATCACTAATCGGTCACTATTCGGTAGCTAAATGGTGATGAAATATAATTCGTCACTAAAATCCATCGCTAATTGGCTATTTCTTATAGTGACCAACTCACCAACTACTGGTGCGAGTTTATCTTGTGATTCCTCTCCTTAACTTTTTAACTTATTTATGAGGTTTTTGAAATCGCATGCCATGACAATGAACTTATTGATCCTACTATATAAAAAGGAATATAATTAAATAATAAAAATTCACACAATAAATAAATAAATTCATTATAAATTGAGATGGACAAAGAATTGAAAATTTTTACCTTGATCATTAGAAAAATTAGGGATTAAAATCACGTTACCATTTTTCAAGGTATAAAGATGATTGAACTATCAAAATAGTTTTACCATAATTTTTAAGTGACTATCTTGAGACACAATCGGGTTGTTTTTTTAGATGATACACGTTATTCATAGAATTTATCTTATGTAACAAATCAAATAATATTAAATGCGGTCTTAGGAATACAACAAGCTCATTCACTTTACCATGTCTTAACAAGTTTGCACTATTTGAAAGACTTGAAACTGCGAATATAAAAGCACCACTCTTACTCACATAAAATAAAATAAAATGGATTTTGATAGGAGGATAAAAATTATAGAATAAAAGAATTATTTTTATCTAAGCAATATATATATATATATATATAAAGCAAGAAAAAATGCAGCTATTTTTTCCCTCCACACCATGTAAGAATTATTGTTGTTATGTCCGAAATGATAAAAAAAATATCATATTTATAAGCTATAAGAAGAGAGTCTGTTTGAAGAAATAAATGTTGAAATGAATAACAATTTTAATACCATCACACTCGTAATAACGGCATGAAACCATTTTTTTAAAATTAAAACGTGATTGTTTTGAAACAATCATGTACTTTTTGTGACTATTTCAAAGTAGTTATAGTACATGGTAAGTCTTCTTCTTCTTCTTTTTTAACAAACGAGTCTAATAATATAGTTTTTAATATTTTGTAAAAAGTATTCCAATAATCCCCTATTTATTTTTTAATAAAATAATAGCCATATTTTAAGGTAAGAAAATGAATATAATACATAATAAGGGTGCCAATAAGCTGAAACCCGTACTTAATATTTCAACAATATTGCTCTTAAGCCAATAGTGAATATTGTCTTGAACTAAGGCTTTTTAGAATAAACAAATATTGTATCAAACATATTATAGTCAAGTACTCTACGATGAGTTTTAAAGCCAACATATTATGGTCTTATGTTTAATCCCGACTTCTATAAATATTTTAAAGAATTAGCCATATTCTCATAGAAAGTGACCCTACTTCCTTACTCATATTGGCGTGTCTATCAATGATGCTCTCATAATTCTAACATCCCATTAAAATAGAATTATAAGCCACATTAAAAGTTTCATTTAAAGGAACTTAGCCTTTTTTTTTCGTTTTATGATTCATGCACTACACCATAAGGATGGATATATGAGTATTGTAACTTAAATAAATTATGTATGGAATCAAACCACTATGTACTCATTTTTCTCTCGTTAACCTAGTTCTTGGGATCTCCACTCCCTAGGTAAAGTATTTGTATAGATGATTTTATTCCTTTATGGGCTTAGTTTTATCCACTCGATTTATCATCTAATTCTTTAACATTAGCCAAAGATTTAATTCTCATAATTTTCAATATGTATACCCAAAGGATTAGGTAACCCGCACTTAATCAATTTATTAGTTCTAAGACAAGTGATAAGAATTTTTTATTCTTAATATTTTTGTTTTAGATAAAGCATAACATCAACTTGCTTTTTTCATTTGCATCCACTTACTTCTTCATTGGCTTTGGCTTTGGCTTTTAGCCAATTTAAGTTTCACATACATGAGCCAATAATAATCATACTTTATTTATTTTTCACATCATCAACATCATCATGCTAAAACATTATGGCATTATTGTATTTTTTTTAATACAATAGAAAACATTGAATATAATCCTATAGAGACATTTTTTGATCTCTAGTTTGTGATATAAATTTGACATCATTATATCTCATCTATACAATAAGAGTCTCAATATTTAACTAGTGATTTTAATTACTCAAATTATCACCGATTGTCTTATCAACGGTGTTATTACAACATCATTATATCTTAACTATACAATAGGAGTGTATCTAATTCTACTTATCAAATAATGTTATCAAAACACTATTGTATCTTAATTATATAATACGAGTGCCATTAATTCCATCGGTCTCTCAATAAAATATTTGCCAAAAATTTCATAAGCATCGTTATACCTTTTGTATAATAGGAATACTTTGGTCAAATATCTCATAAGCATCACATTAAAAATTTACACGGCAAAATATAAATAGCACCATAAGAAAATTATGATAGTGTACATTGAAATACAAAATATTGTTTTCTCCATCAAATATTTGATGTAATAATATTTTTTATGTATGCCCTAACTATTGACGTAATATATATTTTCAATAACATAGTATTTTTTATATGCCCCCACTATTCACGTAATAAATAATTTTCTTGCTACCATTGACAAGATGATGGCATGAATTATCCTATTATTTCATCATTAGCATTTGCAATTTATTTCTTGTGGCCTAACAATCAACAAGATATACATAATATATCAAATTTTATTTTCACATAAAAAATAATTTATGAGAAAACCATTTATTAAATCATGAACCTTGTCAATTTATCTTACCAATAATATGCTAACAAGATTATTATTTATATATTTATTTATGTTGCCACAAATAGGTAAGGGTGTCAAACAATTTCAACATGATTCACATAAAAATAATCGACAATTGGTCTTAATTTTTCTAACATGTGAGCTTTTAAGTTTTAATAAATCAATCATGTGAACCAACCTTTTAGTAACATTTAATTTACAAATATTGCATAACAAAAATTTATAGTCACATTCTAATTCAATAACAGGAATTTATATATTTAGTCACATTCTCATTCAATAACAAGATGACCAAACTATCAAAATAGTTTTATCATAATTTTTAGGTGATTGTCTTGAGACATGATTAGATTGCTTCTTTAAGACGATACGCGTTATCCGCATAATTTATCTAATGCAACAAAGTAAGTAATGTTGTATGCTATTTCGGGGATACAATAAGTTCAACCATCTTGTCGTGTTTTAACAAGTCCGCAATACTTGTAAGACTTGAAACTCCAAATATAAAAACATAACTTTTACCTAAATAAAATAAAACAATATAGCTTTTGGTAGGAGGATAAAAATTACAAAATAAAAGAATTATTTTTATTTAAGCAATATAAAAGATTCCTCTTTTTCTCTCTCTCTAAAACAATTATGTAGTTTCTATATTTTTTAAAAAATATTCCAATAATTTCGTCAAAAAGTGGACAAGTTAGCTAGATTGTGCGAACATTCACTCACATATAAAATACACCTACTAATCTATAATATTCTGGTGCTTTTTTTTTTTTTTTTAGGGCTCCTGCTAAAGATTTATGCAAGTTTTAAAAGACTTCCAAGTACAACCTAAAAAATCAATAAGTTACTATCCAATATCTAAACCTCATACCTAAAAACAAAAGAGTTTGTTATGTTAGAGACTAATATAAATTATATTCTAGAGTCTCACTTATCAGTCGAAGCTTTTAGGTGAGATGATCCTTTAATATGACATCAAAGCTTGGTTGACTAAGAGGTCCCGAGTTCAATCTCATCATCGTCAATTTCTCAAGTATTAAGTACAAGGCAATATCGATCTATGTAAATTAAATTATATTTTGGGACCTCATCTATCAGTTTAAGTGATAATATGATCATTTAATAAGTTAGACATTAACTTTTGCCCAAAAAAAAAAGGCAAAAACCACTGTTGGAAGGAACACTATGAATCAATTAATATATTTCATAGATTAGGAACACTATGAATCAATTAATATATATATTTCCCATATTTTTTTCTCTCTCATGATTCGGTAGACTAGAGATGTATGTCGTTTTCATCTCCATTGGCTCCCACAGTATCACAGCCAACTTCGCCCAAAAAATAAATCGGTCGGTCACCATCAGCTCTGACCTTTTGCCAAAAAGGGGAACATTCGAAAAGGTATGATCAAATAACATCTAATCTTAACATAGGAAAAAGTAGTACCAGTACTTATTAGATTCTTGCTTTAGTAAATTATAAATTAGTCCTCATTATTAAAGATTGTCCTTTTTGTTCAAATCTATCATGCTATATAATATCGCTATCAAGTCCTCATATATTATCTAAGATGGCCCTTTTTGTTCAAATTTTAAAGGAAAAAAAAAAATCAAAATCAGAATCAGAATTCCTCGACTCGTCAGAGTAGAATGAAGATAGAAAAAAATTTTGGACTCATTCTTTCTGTGAGTGTAGGCTTGATGGTTCTGAATCGAAGGTTCGCCTGTTTTTGGAAAAAGCTTGCCGAAAGTCATCAAAAGTGGTGTAGAAAAATAAGGTGACTTCCTTGTTAGGCTATGAAGAGAAAAAGATTGATGATATTTATCATCCTTTTACTGGTAGCATGTGAAAGAATGCTTGAAAGTTAAATGCTGCTATCAGCTCTAACGAAGAAAATATAGCATTAGTGCCATTACATTCGTCATCAACCCTTTTCTTTATCGTGGATCAAGCCAAAGACAATTTTTAAATAAAATATTAAATTAAATGTGATAAATACTGATTAAGATACTCAATGATTAATTTTAAAAAATAGTAATTAATAAATTAATTTATAATTTACTCCATCATAATGACATGCATTGTTTTCCATACATTACAAAAATCTATTGAATTAGCAACGGTCTAGACCGTCGCTAATTAAAAAAAAAACTATCGCTTATGCAATTTAACGACGGTTTTGCGATGGTTCAAAGACTCGTTGCTAAAATTCCGATCTCTAAATTTTTGTGATGGTTTTTGAACCGTCACCAATTTTGTGACGAACTAAACCATCGTTAAAATAAAAAAACCATCACAAAATATGACGAGTAAAACAAGAAAATATTTACGATGGTGCAAAAAGCCCTCGCTAAGTCCGTCGTAATTTAGCGACGGACTTGGCAACGGTCTACGGATCGTCACAATTTATTGAAACTTTTCGCTAATTATCTGATTTTAATTTTTTTTCCACCTCCAATTTAAATATCTAAAATTAACCAATTGCTATTGAAAAATTCTACTAAATATCCAAAACACAATATTTAAAAATTTCATAATTATTAATATAAATTATATTAAAACGTAATAAATATTATTCAATTATTAAATTCTTGAAAACGAGTGCACAATGTTTTTGTTATTACAAGAAAGCATAATAGCTAAGAGAAATTGCTTGGATCGTCACTCGAAGGTTGGGTGGAATCGTCCGCGAGTTGGATGGAGTCATCGTCAATATCAAGCACGACGTATGAAGTACCACCTTGATGAAAATACTATTGAAACATCTCGCTGCATTTCGTCCCATCATCGTATGTTAATGTCGACTATATCCCTTCAACTCATTTGTTGTAGCCAACAACGATGTGACGAGTATCCCGTAGGTCCTGGATCCATGTCGTATTTGCGGATGTTTGATCATGGACTTTCTTTCGCTGTGCCTCATCAGCAGCATGGAACCGCGAAGTTACCGAGCTTGAGGCTATACTTGACGAATTAACACAATAATTTACTTAATGAACAACTAAATAAGTTTAATCACTAATTAATTTATTAATTACTAATTCTAAATTCAACAAGTATTAATTTTTTAATTACTAATTATTATTTTTAATTAATAAAAATATAAAATATTTCCAAAAACTTATTAATAATTTTCTAAAATAATTAACTTTCAAAAATACCAACAATTAAACTAACTAAATTAATAAATAACATTTAACAATAAATTAACTAAATTAGCAATTATCAATTACACTAATAACAATAACAATTAAATTAACAATAAAAAATAATAACAATTTAAATCCTCACAATTAACAATAATTAATAACAATTATATTTTCTAAACAATTTAACTAAGTAAATTAACAATTAACAATTAAAAATAAAATTAATTAAATCAACAATCAAGAATTAACAATAATATTAATTAAATCAACAATTAACAATAACATTAACAACACAACTAAAAATTAAAATAAAATTAACAATTAAAAATCTAAACTACCACAATTATCAAAAATTAATACCAATTAAATTTTCTTAACAAATAAACTATCTAAATTAACAAATTACAATAATATTAATTAAATCATCAATTAACAATAACAACAACACATGCAATTAACAATAACAATGAATTAAATTAACAAACAATATTTAAATTATATTAACTAAATAATTGAAAAAATTAAAAAATAAAATAAAAGGTTAGATGGGGGAGGACCTTTCACTAACACGAGGAGGAGAGGGGCTGCGTTGGTGAGAGGACTTCATCGAACTTGTTTGGCGGGAAAACGACCGAGTGGAGGAAGAGAAGAGAACATAAGAAAAAAAGAGGAAAAAAGGGAAGAAAGGGGGAAAGATGGAGGGGAGAAAGGGAAGGAGGAGAGAGAGGAGAAGATTGGAAGGAAAATAAGGGAGAGGGGAAGATTTGATGGCAATCTTGGGCGGATCGATGCCGCTATTGGAGGAGAAGAAGAGAGTCTGGAGAGAGAAATTTTTTTCTAAAAATTATCGGGAAGATGGGTTTGCTAAAGGTAAAGGTGTAGCGACGATCCGTAGACCGTCGCTAGAATCGTCTCTAATTGTCGATTTTTTAAAAAAATTTTAAAAATTTACCGTTTCCCACCAACGAATTCATTTTAGCGACATTCGGTGGACCGTCGCTAATTTGAAATTTTGAAACGAGTTGTTTTTGAAAAAAAAACCATTGCAAAAATTGGTTTTTAAATATTTTTTTCGAATTGCAATTTTAGCAACGAGTTTAGCGACGGTATATAGACCGTCGCTAAATGTTGAAATTTTGCAACGATTGTTTTGCAAGAAACCATTGCAAAAATTAGTTTTTAATTTTTTTTTCAAATCTCAATTTTAGCAATGGTTTAGCGACGGTCTATAGACCCTCGCTAATGTTGAAATTTTGCAATGGGTTTTTGCAAAAAACCGTAGCAAATTTTGGTTTTTAAATATTTTTTTCGAATTGCAATTTTAGCAACGGTTTAAAGTTTGCAACGGTTTTTTTGCAAAAAACCGTCACAAATTTTGGTTTTTAAATATTTTTTTTTGAATTGTAATTTTAGCAATGGTTTAGCGACGGTCTACGGACCGTCACTAATTTTGAAATTTTGCAACGGTTTTTTTACAAAAAATTGTCACAAATTTTGTTTTTTTCTTAATATAAATATTTTGCAACGGAATTAGTGACGGTCTATATATCGTCGCTAATTTCAATATTTGCAACTATTTTTTCAAAAAAACCATCGCAAATACGAGTACATATCCAAAAAAAAATTAAAATTCGAGTAATTAGCGACGGTTTGGTCGGACCGTCGCTAAAAATGGTCTTTTTGTGAAATTTTAGCTACGGTTTTTTGGACCCTTGCTAAGACAACTAAACCATCACAAATTTTGTAAATCAACAATGGTTTTTTGACCATCGCTAATTTTCCATCGCAAATTCATCTTTTTGTTATAGCGATAAAATATTTAGATATGAGGGCTATTAGTTACCATAATGTTTTCTCCAAAAATGTAAATCCTTGATCGAACAACATAATTGTCACGTCAGCTTTAGAGCATGTTAGATATTGTTGTGCTATATTTTTTAGAAATTTATTATTGTATTATGTTTATAAATATTTACAACAACTAAATTGTATTTAGTAAATTATATTATTGTATTTTAAAAATATAAAATAACCAATATGTACGGGAATATATTAATTTTTTTTAACAATCATATTCCTTTTATATTAAATGATTTAACTTTTTATTATAGTAATTTAAAAATATTTAAAAACTAAAATAAAAAAATCGAATAAAGCGATAGTATATACAAGCACATTATTTCAATAAAATTAAGAATATATTTTTAAGTCTTATAAATCACATATTCGTAACGTATGATAATTGATTTAAAAATACTTAGTTAAATAAATAAATAACTCATTCAGCATTAAGGCATAAAACAATTTTCCTCTAGGTTAATTTAGCACATGACAAGATCAAGAAAAAGAAACAATTGCCAACTCAATTCTTGTCTTGGTGCATGCCGACAAATCCAATAAGGGAATACTCCTACCATATATAAAAAAGAGCAGTAGTTAAAGAGATGGTTTGTGAGTTTATGACTAAGACAACAAAGAGTATGAGGTTTCGTTAGAATAATTTAAATAGCATGGGAATTAAATTATTATTATTATTTAGTTAATTTTATTATAATTCTATAACTGAATGCAAAAAATTTATTATATGTGATGTCAAAGAACCATCTCACCCAAAAGTTTAAAAAGCAAACATAAGCTCTATGAAAGTGAGGGTGGTAGGATTCGAACTCGCAATCGTTTGGTCATTAAGATTTTGATACTATGTCAAAAGACCATCTCATCTAAAAATTTAAGTTGTTAGGTAAGGCCTCGGGATATAATTTATATTATTTTTTAACATGCGTGAGATCTCTTATAGTAGAATTATGAAGAGGTTTTTTTTTAATAAATTATTATAATAAGTTAAAAATAATAAACTATTACATAAAAGAAAATAAAGAATGTAATAACCCAAAATTTACCTTATTTTTGTTTATTATTATTATTATTTAATTTGAAAGTTTACTAAAAAAGAAAGAAAGAAAGAAAGAAAATGATGAAAAACACAAAACAAATTCATTTAGGGACACAATTGAAGTAATTAGGGGTGTAATCGAGTCAATTAAGAAATTTAGGCCTTAAATTGCACCTCACGAGGACCCGATTGATAGGATTGTGTTGAAATTATACCATAAAAGGGTGTGATCGTGAAAAATTGAAAAGCATAGAGACCAAGTTGAATTTTTGGAACGGACGATAGGATCGAGGTGGAGATGGTGACTCGTCGTCCACTCCAATTCTAATTTCCCTCCGAAAATCTTTGGAGAAATCGCCAAAATCCTTCATCAAATTTCCTGTTTTGATTTTGCATTAATCATGAATTAAAGAGGAAAAAATTTTAAAAATTTTGGAATTTGAGATTCGATTCTATGAGAAATTCTAAGAGATTTTTGCTACAAAAAGTTTTGAATTTCACGGAACAAGGGAGGAGGATTGGAGAGGAGAAATTAGGGAATTCGGGTTTAGAGAGAGTGAAAACTAAGAGCAAAAGATTCAAAAATTTGGGGTGACAATTGCTAGGTTTCGGCTCTGTGTTCTTGGGGTTACGGGTTTGAGTTCATCGATTAGCGGTCTCCTTTAGTCCTTTGTTTTTTTTATTTTTCGGGGTTAATTTTCCATCCTTAAGTGTTTCTCAACTACC